TAATGTAATATTACACTTTTGTGAGGTGAAAAAATATTTTTGACATAATGATGAACTCTGCATTTGTTGATGATAACTAATTTCACTTTTTTCAGCATAAATGATCAGTGATAAACAGAGATACAGTGGAATCCTGATAAAGTCAACTTGCTTAAAGTCAATTCTTGCTTACAGTCAACACCTCACTGTAGTCCTGTTTCTTATCTTCTTTTTTAAAGAAATTGTGTTTCTGATACAGTCAACCGCTTGAGTGTTAACCTTGCATAAAGTCAACAATTTGGGGCTAAATCCTAAGAGGAATTCATTCAAGAAGAGATATTTCGCCAGAGCAAGTGGTGTACACACCTCCAATTACATATTATTATGTACTTTGTTCTTTCATTATCTCTTGTTTTGGTAACAACTTCAGAATTATACTCCCTGAAATTGAGATTACATCCTGTTTATTACCAGGTAGGCTACTTTGTAATTTTGTAGCTGTCGTCTTCAATTTCTAATGGCCAGTACGTGTAGTTCTATGGATAAAGTCAACCTTGCTCAAACTCAAAGTCAACACTTTTTTTCTGTTCGGGCTGTTGACTTTATCAGAATTCCACTGTAACTTTAAAAAAAATTAAATTAAAGCGCTTTTATCAAGACATGAGTCTCAATTTTTTCCTTTTTATTTGTAAGAAAGAGTGTGTATGCAATATTTTCCTTGAATGATTTACTCTAATTGTGAGGCAGCGTGGTGAAATCAGGCGCTCGTCAAAATAATGAAAGTGAAAAAAAACTGGCATTTTCCCGCTGGTTTAGGAACTTGTATTGAATTTGTTTTTTCGCGTTAAAAACATTTTACGTCCATACTGAAAAACGTCCATTACATGCACAAAATTTGTGATTTTTCAGTTTTAAAGGCTCTCAAGCTATTGAAGTTATCAAACTTTGGTGGCCGTTTTCTCACTAAATTTACCTCTGACCCCACCTCCTTCAATCACAAATATTTCGACTTCTATTCAGCATAGATGAATATTGTTTTCATCAAAAGGAAGGCAAATAGACATGCTTTAAGATGATATCAATAACTCTGTATGTCTCAAAATCAAAACTGACGAGCGCTTGATCTCACCATGTCGTGACACCTATTATTTTTTAGTGCATATATTATTATGTGCGTGTATGTGTGTATGCATGTTTTTCATTAATATTATGCTATGCGCATAGAGCAATGATTGTTTTACGGATTTGCACGATATAAATGTCATATTATTTTTATCATTATAAGCGAACAATGTAATATTACGGGGGTGGGGGGTAAGGGCAAATGTAAGAAAAGTGTAAGAAGGGGGAGGGGGTAAAACAGTCCCCAAAAAGTGTAACTTACGTAAGATTATATTTGAACAGCCCCTAAAAGGATGCTCAAATACAGGATGCATAAGATCAAAAGGAGGAGATATTTTAATGGACAACGTTGATGTCTTAAACAGATGGTCAGAATACATAGAGGAACTTTTCAAAGATAATAGAGGCGAAAAACCGATAATAAAAAATGAAATAAAAGGACCTCCAATACTGAAAGCAGAAGTACAAGCTGCCATTAGGAAAATGAAACAAGGAAAAGCCACAGGGCCAGATAATATTCCAGTTGAAGTGATTGTCGCGCTTGAAGAACTAGGCACTGAAATAACAACAAAGCTCCTAAATGCTATATATGGCAACGGTGAGATCCCAGAAGATATGATGAAGTCAGTTTTTATAGCTTTACCTAAAACACCAGGTGCCACTGAGTGTGATAAACATAGAACAATTAGCCTTATGAGTCATTTTACAAAAATATTGCTGGGAGTAATAATGGGAAGATTGAGAAG